GGTAGTTTGGGGGAAGGTCAAAGTTACTTTCAGAGTCTCTTGTTCTTAAAAATAATCAAGGCAAAGCAAAGAGACACATTTTGAGGTGGCCCATTATGATTCCCTACACCTCCTACTTGATCTTCCTGCCTCCTCTCTCTCTCTCCTTGGTTCATTCCGCAAAGAACTGCAAGATTCATCTTCATAAAACCAATATATGGCCAAATCAGGACTCTACAATCTACTCTAGTTTCTTCAAAAAGGAAGAAAGTTAGGGAGGAAGGGAGGGAGAACGGATGGCAGAAAGGGAGGAGGAAACCTTTCAATGAGTCCTTACTCCCTACAGAACAAAGTCCAAACTCCTTATCAGTCAAAGCCTTGAGCCCCTGGCAGTGTCAATTGGTGCATTTTTAGCTTCTTCCCCTGCCACTCCTTCCTCCACAGCTCCCCGTACTCCCTACATTCCAGCCATCTCTCAAAGATGTCATATATTTTACTCTTTATGCCTTTATTCATGCCTTTCCATTGCCTGAAATGGACTAGCCTCTGTCAAAATAAGTTTAAGACTTTAATATTCAATTTAACTCACACCTTCCCTGAGAAATTCCTAACCACTCATTCCAAATTAAGCATTCTCTCTTCTGTGGCACCACAGTGCAACCTGCCTCTCTTCTAGCACTTGTCACTGTCTTCTGACATTGGGACTTGAAGTCAGGTGACCTGGGTTCAAACTCCAGCTCTGCCACTTCAGAGCTGTATGGATTGGAGAACTTCTGTCTCTCTGAGGATTAGTTTCCTCATTTGTAAAGTCAAGATACATAAGATCTACTTCACGGAATTAAGAAATAATATATGTGAAAGTACTTTGTAAACCCAGTTCTTCCCTACTCTGTCTTTATTCCCTATGTGTCTCCTTTACCTTCACAGAGAACACTTCACTTCTGACTTTGTGGTCACCAAATATATGGAGGTTTTTCCCCACACCAAGCAATTCTCTGCAAATCAGCCAGGTGTCCTACAATTTAATTCAATTCTGACACTGTCTACCTGAAGATAGCATCAGATGCCACAGGTTAAGGGCTCAGTCTCACAAGACTGCTACCCACTCCCTGACACACACACACACACACTTCAGAGGCCAGTTGCAAGCCAAGGATGTGACTTGGGCTTCTGACCAACCAGCTATAGATCAGAGGTTCCAACAACCTCCTCCTCATGTTCAATTAATTTGCTGGAGTGGCTTGCAAAACTCAGAAAAAACATTTTATTTACTTTTACCAGCTTATTATAAAAGAATATAGTTGAACATGCAGATGGAAGCGATGTGCAGGGCAAAGGATTCTAGGAAGGGGCACAGAGCTTCCATGCCCTCTCTGGGTGCACCATTCTCCAGCACCTCCACTTGTTCACCAAACCAGAAACTCTCTGAATCCTGTACTTTTGGGATTTTATGGAGGCTTCATCACATAGGCATGATGGATCATTAACTCCATTTTCAGCCTTTCCCCCTTCTCAAAAGAATGGGGGCCGGGGCTGAAACTTCCAAGCTTCTAATCATGGCTTGGTCTTTCTGGTGACCAGCCCCCATCCAGGAGCCATGCAGGAGGCCACTCAGAGTCATCTCAATAGAACAAATCATGCTTATTACCCAGGAAGTGACAAGGGTTTGTCGACGAAAATAATCCATAACCAATCTATAAATGAAAATTTGGGTGAGTTTATTCTGAGCTGAAATCTGAGGATTATAACCCAGGAGAGTCTTTCCACAAAGGAACAGAGCACTCCAAAGAAGTAGGGGTATACAGGGCAGTTACATACCCTCAAAGAGGATGTTTCACATATGATGGAAACGTCCCTTTTACGATAGTCAGGAGGCTGCTCTGTCAGCACAGTGATTGACGGAAACAGCAGATAGGTCTGCTGGCTCGGTGAACCCCGCAGGGTGGCAGGTCTGTTGCCTAGAGCTGGGTGGTCACAGATGAGTGCTGCAATCAGTTCCCAGACTAAAGAAAGATGCTTAATCTTTAAGGAGATGCCAGCATTGGGAGGGGGAGGGAAGTTGCATCTTTATCTCAAAATGTCTAAGCAGATATACAATGCATGCTCAGTGGCCACAGTCAGGCCCTTTTGGAAAAAACAAAGTCAGGCCAAATTAGGTTTATACCAAATGGCTTCCTCACATACTCCAATATATCCTATCGCTTGCCATTTCAATTTGTCAGGTTCAGGAGCTCTGTGCCAGGAACCGGGGACAAAGACTAATATATATTTTCTACTATCTCACACACATAAAAGGTAAAAAGTTTCTACTCCACTAGAATGTAAGCTCCCAAAGGATGGGAATTTTTTTAACTTATATTTTAAATGATGCTTACCAAAGAGTTGCAAAGATATAGACTCTTCACCCGTAAACTCTTCACCCAACTTCCCCTTCTGTTGACATCTTAAATAACCATGGTATATTTATCAAACTAAGAAATTAGCATCGGTACAATATTGTTAGCTAAAATACAGACTTTATGTGGCTTTTTATCCATTTTCCCACTGCCCTTTTTCTGTTCCAGGATCCAATCCAAAATCCCATATTGCATTTGGTGGTTACATCTACTTAGTCTCCTGCAATTTGCGAATTTCTCAGTCTTTTTTCTTTCGTGATTGACATTTTGGAAGAGCACTGGTTAGGTATTTTGTAGAAGTAGAAAAAACCTCAATTGGTGTTTTTCTGGTGTTTTCTCATGATTAGAATGAGGTTATGGATTTTTGAGAACACCGCAGATGAAACCCTTCTCATTGCATGCTAGGGTGTATATAGTATCAACATGCTTATTATTGGTGATAAAAGAGGGGGTTTTGACTGTTTGGTTCATATTCAGCATCTAAAACAGCCTGGCACATGGTGGTACTCAATAAATATCTCAGTGAATTCTCTTTTCACTATTATGTGTCTGTGTCTTCCACTAAATTGTAAACTGCTAAATGGCAAAGACCGTATCTTATTCATGTTTGTAGTTTCCTAATGCCTGTAGACTTATGTTTAGTAGGTGTTCAGTAAGCCTTTAGGGATTGAATTGAAAGGTAAATCGGAGTCTGGTTGTATCTTCAGGCAAAATCAAGTTTGACAGTCACAAGGAACCAGACACATTTTAAGCAGCTCAGTTAAACAGCTTAATATTTATTGTGTCTATTATGTGCTGACATTCTAATGGTTGGAGTCCCTACAGTATTTCATCAATAACTGGAAGGGAACAGGGGGTGGGAAGGGGCATTGGTAGATGAGGCAGAAACAGAGCTTTGAGCTTTCAGCCTGATGACAGAGATTTAGTGATATCATTCTGAGAAGGAGAGACCAGAGAAGGAAGTTTGGGGTAGAAGATAATTAATTTGGCTTTAAATGTGTTGAATTTGTCTTGTGGGAAATCCTGTGGTTTTTGGAGATCTGTAGGAGATCTGTAGGAGGTAGTTGTAAATGCTGGGCAGAGTGATGAGGATCAAGGCTGCCCCAAGGAGAGAAGGCCAGGGCGTCCTGCCCTACATGCCAATCTATATCATCCTCCAAGAAGCATAGGACATCCTGACCTGATTCGACCTGACTTGTATCCAAAGTTATAGGATCACCTGATAACCAGACCCCACCTGCCCTGATACCTTTTTAACAACATTTTTACACAGTCTTTCCTTTGTCTTCTAAAGAAATAACTCACATACCTATGCCTTATAAATTTAGCCCTACCCTCAACCCATTGCAGCTCTTTACTGCCCATGGGTCCCATCCCCCTGCTACTCCATGCTATTCTCTGAAGAAAGGAGCACTACTACCAGACCTTGAGAGTCCAATTTGACTCCTCAGCTCACCAGCCTGCATCAAGAGGACAGGGTGGGCCCAGAGATTTAGACTTGAAGCCATTTCTATTCTACTGATAGCTGAAGCCCAGAAAGCAGATAAGATGAGCCAAGACTGAGTAGTGAGAGAGAACAGGACATGGGATTCTTGTGGAAATTCTGCCCTTAGAAGTAAGAAGGGGAGACAGAGAAAACAACTTTAGGACACTATACAGAAGAGATTTCAAGAACTCGGTAGTTGACAATACCAAATAAGGAGGAGTACTTTCTTGAGGAGATGCCAGATGATTGGAAAGAATCAGGGAGTGGAATGAGTAAACACCTATTTTGCTTCCTTTGAGAAGCTTCACTACAAAAGGAAAAAGAAAAAGAGGATTGTGGCTGCACACAATAGAAAGGCTGAGGAAAGGTCTTATTTTAGTTCTGCCACTAATCCCTCATTTATGTGATCTATAAAGCACTTAACCTCTCAAGCTACTCATCTTCCTTGTAACTATAACTGGAACAAATAATACCTGATCTACAGGATTCTTGTGTTCAGGAGCCTGCTTCCCCACACAACCATAAGGTCTCGAAGGCAGCAGCCATACACATATTAATATTCTCAGGGCCTCACAGAGCCATGACAATGACCAGGGGAAAAGGCTTGTTGGATGAAGTGTGAAGCGCGAGCAGTAACAAGCGCTGCCCCGTACTGAGATCTTACTGTTCGCCAATCACTGTGCTATGCGCCTAATCACGCACTGTGAGCATTCTTCACGACCCAGAGGGAGACTGTAATTACCCCCAGTTTACAAAGGAGGAAATGGGGTGAATAAAGCACAGTAACGGGTCCAAACGGTGGGTCTAGAAGACGGGATGTCTTTTTTTACTCAAAAACCATTAGAGCGACAAAGCATGCTCCATGACCTGGAGCGAAATGAGCCAAGGCCAATAACTCATCTCAAAGCGTTAAGACAGCCGGAAAAAGAAAAAAAGAGGAACAATCCTCGGCTGACCGCAGCCACCCAGACCCAAGGCCGGAGCCGCGAGGCGCCTGCGCCCAGTACAACTTCCGCCAGCTCCACCGCCATCTCTCCCGGCATCGCGAGGCCCCAGACTGAGGCGAGACCGGGAAGGCTGGGGACTGGCTAGCGCGCGTGCTGATGACGACAGCGGAAGTGCTGGTGCCAGAGGAGGGACTAGAGCCCGGAGGGGCTGGGTATTGCGGAAGTTTTGCGGAAAAGTGTCGGGTGGCTGTGAGAGTGTAGTGTTGTTTGGGAACAAGTTCCGAAAGGGAGGCCGTCGCTCGGGGTCCCAGAGCCAGTGGCCTGCGCACATTTGGGGCAACACCGGGCGCGACTCGACGTGGCCCCTGTTGGCCTCCTCTGCCCTCCTTCCTCCCCCGGGAACCGCCTCGGATCTCCGCCATGGCATCCACCTCGACCAACCTCCAGGTATCACTGCTCTTCTCCCGCCCCCTGGAGAGTCGGAGCCGAGGGGAGGCGCGGGGCGGGGGACGGGGGGCGGGGAGGAGGGAGGAAGCGGCCGCGCCCCTGGTGCGGGGCGGAGGAGGTGGCGCCCGCGCCCAGCGGCGGGTGGGAGGGTCGGGCGTTTTCCGTCCGCTTCCGGGGTCTCCCGGGCAGGTTGCCTTCGTGAGACTTCACTTTGGTTGAGGGGTTTTTTTCTTCTCAAACCAGCTGAGTTGAACTGAACTGGGCAGAACTCTGAACGAGTGGCACAGATGCTCCAGTAGTGTAAGGGAGAGAGGAAAGAACGTAATGTTTGCAAAGCACTGTCTGGACCACTTGAAAATAGGGTGGTCCTAGTTCTCTCCTAGTTTCTGAAGCTGGTATAGCAAAGCCCGTCTTTTCGAGCTGTCAGGTGAATATAAACGTGGGAACAGTTTTGGAATCTGAGGAATCCGTCAATTCATTAAGCATACGCGTTTATGTGCACTGTCTTATGGCTCCCAAAATGATATGATAAGATCAGAAAGTCTTCTTAAACTCGTTTGTGGCTCCAGCTCCCCATCCCCACTGCAGTGAACGGAGTGATTTTTTTTTGGTACATAAATTATGGAACCTTAAGATTTTAGGCTTAATCCTTAGACCTCTGTGGGATGGAATTCATTCAGAAGAGAAATTTCCAAAACAGTGTCTCCCATCCCCAAAATGAAACTGGGGCTTCATTGGGGTTCAGAATGTGACAGCCTCGAGGATTCCCAGTCCACTAGGTCAGTTTGGGGTAAAAGAGTAGCGTGAAATACTAAGATGCAACAATCTTTGCTTCACTTTTTTTTTTTTTAAAGATTTTATTTTTTCCTTTTTCTCCCCAAAGCCCCCCAGTACATAGTTGTATATTCTTTGTTGTGTGTCCTTCTAGTTGTGGCATGTGGGACGCTGCCTCAGCGTGGTTTAATGAGCAGTGCCATGTCCGCGCCCAGGATTCGAACCAACGAAACACTGGGCTGCCTGCAGCGGAGCGCGCGAACTTAACCACTTGGCCACGGGGCCAGCCCCTGCTTCACTTTTTTTGTAACCCCATTCAGAAAGGGTGTTTTTAGTAAACATACTCGGAAAAAGTATTGGTTATTTGATTAAAAGTATTGTTCCTTTGGATATGAAAGGTGACTTCTTTTGAAATGCCCATCTTGTCACCATCCTTCTTGGTTTGTCAACTGACTAGTTTTACTCCACCAGCTTTTCGGTTGTCAAGATTTTGCGCGTGATTTGGGCATTCTACTACTTAAGTTTCATCCATTTATTGATATCTTTTCCTTTGCAAGGTTTGCAGTTTCATTCTATAATCAGTTTGCATCATATTTGAATTGGATTGTTGGATGTTCTTCAGTGAATCAGCTAGAGATTGGCCCATATTAAAGGCATAGTTGCATGTGTTAAACAGGGAGAGATGTTGAGTTATAATTCTATTAATGGTTAGTTCACAGGTGCGCTTTCTCATTCAACCTTTTCGACTTTCTAACAGGAAATTTGCATGAAGAATATTCAAATAACAAGTTTGTCACCGAACAAGGCAAAAATCCCTGTAGCTAGGTGCTTATAATCTAATGGAGGAATGCAGATAACTAAAAATCAAAATTATAATATATGCAATAAATGCTGTAATAGAGTTAGAGGTTAGTGCATATCTAGCTCTTCAAGGACAAGTGAGAAATGTTCCACAGCAGAGGTGATGTGAGTGTAGATAAAGTGAAAGCTCCTGACACGAATTGTCTGCCTGGTGTTTGATGTGATCTCATTTAATCCTCAAAACAGCTTTTCAAGGTAAATATTCCATTTTCACCATATAAGAGGCCGAAGCTTATTAAGGTTATGATTTGCCCAAAGACATGCAGCTATTTAGCGTCGGAGATAGTTTTGAGTCCAAGTCTGTCTGCTTACAAGTTTGTGCTTTTTTTCACTGCAAAATTATACCTCCTTGGACACGAAAGTGCGACACGTTCCAGGCAGAAAAAAACAACATACGCCTCGGTCTAGAAGTGTAATAAACCTTGGAGAGGGTTGGGAGAAATTGCCAATAATGCAGTATGCATAGAGCTCAAAGTTTACTAGGTCCTAAATATTTTTTGAGTGTCCACTATTCCACGCATTTTGCTAAGTCTTGGGGAAACATGAAAGAAATATATGACCCTTGACTTGTAAGGGTTTATATTCTGATATGAAAACAGACATATAAAGTGACTAATAGGACACTGTGTGACCTTTGGAAGAATGTGCAAGAGGCAGTGGAAATCTAGAGAAAGCATAGGAATAGGCTGCCTGGAGGGTTGGGGAGGGCTTTGCAGCAGGGGACACCATGACTGCTGAATCTTGGAGAAGCTGGAGTTTTACAGGGAAAGAGTGGCATGTGGAGAGTGCACTGTATATGAAGGTGTGACAACTGAGTTGTCTCCATTGTCTTGGTGGTTTGTTATGACTGGAACTGGGTGTGCAAGGTGGGAGGATGAGCACAGTTAGGCCATATCATGAGGAGTGGTGTGTGCCACACATAGATGATTGGTCCTCATCGTGCTGTAGCTGGGGAGTCATAGAAGGTAATATGCTCAGGTTTTTGTTTGAGAACGAAACTCATGTGTGTACAGTGGATGTCTTGACTGTTAGTGAGCTTGGAAGCAGGGAGACTAGTTAGGCAGGGTTCTGTATGATGGGAGATGGTGAGGGCCGACATACTGTGGTACCCATTAGAATAAAGAAGAAGGGATTGATCAGACACAGTTGAAGAGGAAGTCTAGTCAGGCTTGTATCTGCATTTAGAAAGTGAGAGAGGAGGAGGAGTCTGGGTTTTCCCCTAGATTCCTAGATTGGATAGCTGAGTGGGTAGGAATGGGTTCTGGAATTATAAGAGATGGGGCGTATTTGGGGCCAGGATGCTCTGGAACTTCTTGAATTTGAAATGCCTGTGGGGACAGTCAAGTGGAAATGTCCAATGAGCAGTTGGATACATATGTGTTAGAACTAGAGAGAGAAGGCTGGGCTGGAAATAAAGATTTGGGATTACTAGCAGACAGATGGTAGCAGAGATTGTGGGCATCTTGGAGAGTTTATAGAATGAGGAAAAACAAGGACCAAGACAGAAATGCTATGGCATGTCGGCATTTAAGGAGAGAGAAAAGGGAGCCTGAAAAGAATCATTACACAGACGAGAGTAAAGCCAGGATGGAATGGTGCCGTGAAGGCCAGAGGAGGAGGCCACCTCCAGGTGTCTGTGATTGGGTTAAAGGCTGCAGAGGGGGCGTTAGGTAAGTGTGAGATTTGGCAGTCAGGGAGCAGGAAGCATTGCTGTGGGAGGAGTCAAGAACCTGAGATGAACTTAGGGTTCTCTTTGGGACTTTGCTGTGGGGGTGAGGAGGTAAGGTAGTAGCTAGAGGGGAACCTAGGAACTGGGGAGAGCTGGTGTGTTTTAGTTCATGTTTTGTGGCTATGAGTCTAAGATAGGACTTCCATTACTTTTGTGCTGAGGAAGGCCCCCAGAAAAGGGAAAGGTTGGACTGGGGAGAACAGTAGAGTGGGATATCATGGATGGGGTAAATATCAGAGGAGGAAGGTGGGGATCGGCTCTAGAGCATAGGGGAAAGAATTAGCCTAGACAAATATGGGCTGGGACATCTTTCTTCCTGGGATAGGTGACTTTAGAATTTACCCAGTTTCCCAGAGTTTTCTAGTGTGGACATGTTGTGGTCTCCTAATCTGAAAAGGACAGCACAGCTATTCCCACGCTTTGTACTGCCACATTAATGACTGGATCCTTACTGATCCTGTGTAGTATATTCCTTCAGCCTTGTGCCAGCCACTGTGCTATACTCTGGAATATAAAACAGCGAATACAACAGACATCACTTCTGTCCTCGTGGAGCTTACATTGCAGTCGGAGACTACAAGCCAAAACAAAACCCACGCACAGAGAAACAAGCCTCTGGAAGGATTTTTAAACAGAAGAGGGATGCATTTTAAAATTGAGTACATTTGGGAGTCGTCAGCCTAAAGATAATTAGCTTAAATCATTGAAAACAGATCTCGAAGGGAGGGAGTAAACAGAAAGAAGTGAACCCTAGGCCAAATGCTGAGGAACCTTAGTATTTCAGCGTCCTGTACCAGAGGAAGAATGGGGAAGGGGACTGAGCAGGAGCTGTCAGAGAGGTGGGAGGAAAACCAATCGGGAAAGTGCTGCTTGGGAGCTCAGCAGAGGGCAGGGTTCAGCATGGGAGTAATCATTTGTATTGTCGGGACATCTAGAAGAAGACAGAGCGAGCTGGCCTTTGGATCTGGCATCATGGAGAACCTGGATATAAGCAGTTTTATTGATATGATAAGGGACGGAAGCCCAGGTGGGCTGGGCTGAGGGTAAGTGAGGAAAAAGGAACTGGCAAGAGAGTAGGGGCTGCTCTGGTGAGATGTGGGCTCCTAAGGGTAGCAGAGAAATGGAACTAAGCTGAAGAGTGTTTTAGTGTCAAGGAAGGATTTCTGAAGGAGGGCTGTTTGTGTGCCGATGGAAATATCCAGTGGAGAGAAATTGTTGTTAGAGATAACAGAGGTGGAATAAACCAAAAGGAAGAAGATTTTGAGAAAGCAATGGGGGATTTTTTTCATTTGTTCAACAATTTTCTTGAGCACCCATTGTATGGCAGACGTTGTTCAGGCTCTGGGGTTAAAGCAGTGCTCCAGGTGAAGTCCCTGTCCTTGTGTGGAGCTTACTTGTGTATTAAAGGAGCTAGCCAATAAGTGGGTAGATAGGTAAACATAATGACAAACATGATGGTGGGATAAGAGTGCAGGGGTGAGGGGAGAGCTGAAAGCAGGAGTAGAGAGCAGTTTTTGGAAAAGAACATTAGGGAGGGCCACTCTGAGGTCTTGCCCTTTGAACTATGACTGAAAAGAAGACCATCATGCATCCATCTGGGGAAGAACAGTCTAGACAGAGGGATGAACAGTGCACAGGCTGCCTAAGTGAAGGAGGACTAGAAGGTTTCAGGTGAGACCCAGATGCAATGGCCCAGGTCACCTAAGGCCTTGCAGACCATGACCCAGCATTTGGGTTTTATTGTTTGCAATGGGAAGCCATCAGTGTGCCGTTCACCGATTGCTGTATGGGCTTTAGGGTCTGTCACATGAGTGAGGTCCTGTATATCCCCAGCCACAGTCTTGATACGGAATAGTCCTATGCACAGGGATCCCTCCTGTTGCCCTTCTATAACCACAGTCAGCTCTTTCTCTTCCCTCTGCCATCCCTAACCCCTGGCAATACTAATCTGTTCTCCATCTCTGGTTTTGTCACTTTGAGAAGGTTATATAAATGGAATCATACACTGTGTAACCTTTTGGGATTGGTTCTTTTCACTTAGCGTAATTCCCTCAAGATTCATCCAAGTTGTGTGTTTCAGTAGTTCTTTCCTTTTTGTTACTGAGTAATTCTCCACGATGTGGATGTACCAGTTTGTTTAACCATGCAGTCACTGAAGGATATCTGGAACATTCATGTACAAGTATTTGTGTGAACATGAGTCTTTATTGCTTTGAGAGAAGTGCCCAGCAGTGCATTTACTGGTTCAGATGGTAGTTGCATGTTTAGGTTTGTAAAAAACAAACAAACCAGTTTCCCAGAGTAGCTGTGCCGTTTTACATCCTACCAGCAATGTGTGATCCCATTCTTTGTATCCTCACCAGCTTTTGGTATTGGCACCGTTTTTATCTTAGCCAGTCTGATGGACCTGTAGTCGCATCTCATTGTGGTTTTACTTTGCATTTCCCTCCTGGCTGATGATGTTGAACATCTTTTCATGTGCATATTTGCCATCTGTGTATCCTCTTTGGTAAAACGTCTATTCATGTCTTTAGCCCATTTCCTACTTGGATTCCTTTTTAGTTTGAGTTTTGAGAGATTTTAATATATTCCAGATACTTTTCCGTTGCTGGATGTGTGGTTTGCAAATATTTCTTCCAGGTTGTAGCTTGAGTTTTCATCCTTCTAATAGGATTTTTTACAAACCAAAAGTTTTTAAGTTTGACAAGGTCCAGTTTACATTTTTTCCTTTTATATGTTGTGATTTTGATGTCAAGTCTAAGAACTCTTTCTTTGCCTAGCCCTAGATGCTGGAGATTTTTTAAGTCCATGATCCATTTTGAGTTAATTTTTATACAAACTCTGAGGTTTAGGTTAAGGTTCTCTTTTTTTACCTCCTGCCCTGGCTTATGGATGTCCGTTAGCTCCTACAATTTTTTTTAATTGAGGTAAAATTGATGTATAACGTTATGTAAGTTTCAAATGTACATTATAATTCGACATCTGTATACACTGCAAAGTGATCCACACTGGAAGTCTAGTTACCATCCATCACCGTACAGTTGACACCCCTTCACCCATTTTGCCCTCCCTGCAATCTCCTTCCCCATTGGTAATCATCAATCTGTTCTCTGTATCTGTGAGTTTATTTTTGTTTTTATTTTGATGTTCATTTGTTTTGTTTTCTTTAGATTCCACATATGAGTGAAATGAGTATTTGTCTTTCCCCATGTGACTTATTGCACTTAGCATAATACCCTCAAGGTCCATTCGTATTGTCACAGATTGCAAGATTCCATTCTTTTTTATGGCTGAGTAGTATTCCACTATATACCTATACCACATCTTTATCCATTTGTCCATCAGTGGACACTTACATTGTTTCCATATCTTAACTATTGTAAATAATGCTGCAATGGACATGGGGGTGCAACCACACCATTTCTTAAAAAGCCTATCCTACCATGGTTGACTTGCTTTTGCGTCTTTGTCAAAAATCACTTGGACGTATTTGTATAGATCTATTTCTGGGAGTTTGTTTTTTTAGGACTACAAACGTAGTCCATGTTCCTTATGGATGTTTTCAGAAGATGTGAAAAAGTAGAAAATGAAAAAATTGTCTTATCAAAAATAAACTCTGTTCACTTTCCTTCCCATCTTTTTCCTGTGCTTTTTCTTTTTTTTTACTGTTGTTTCGAATAGTTGAACTTGTGGTACGTAGAAAAATTGTATCCTGCTTTTAAAAAACTTCTGTTATAAACATTTTCCATGTCATTACAAATGTTTCCTAATATTATTTTAATGAGCCTGTACTATTCCATTTGGTGACATCTTTTTGGTGTTTAAAATTAAAGTTACCACGGTTGGTTTTTGTAAACACCTTTGTGGTTACTGTCTTTGCTCATAAACCTTTTAGTTCATTACTGGGTTAAAAGATTTGGGTATTTTTCCAATTCTTGATATTTCATTGCCCCATTCCTTCTGAAAGGGGGATTTACATGTTACTATTTACATGTTACTGTTGTTGCATGCTTTAGATATAGCAGCATTGGATTTTTCAGAATTTCTCTAAATGCGTCTTAACTTGAATTTTCAGCTATTCACTTATTCCTTACTAGCCCTAAGCTTGACTTTTGTTGAGTGAAAATGATGTGAGAATCTTAGTGATTAGTACTAGATAAAGTCATATTCAGATAGCATTTACCCGTAACAGAAGTAACTTGTAATTTATAAATAGTTATAATTTATGATAAAATGCTATTGTGACTTAGAAAAAAAGATGGGTTTATTTTAAAGTTGATTTTATTTAAAAAAAACTTTCCATATGATTATTTATTTCAAATGTATGCTTGTGCTTTGATTTTGATGGTATGATTTTGCCTCCTTTCAAACAGAAGGCAATAGATCTTGCTAGCAAAGCAGCCCAGGAAGACAAAGCTGGGAACTATGAGGAAGCCCTTCAGCTCTACCAACATGCTGTGCAGTATTTTCTCCACGTAGTTAAATGTAAGGCTATAGTTTGTTTTTATTTAAAAACACTAAAAGAAAAAATTATTCTATTCCATTCATAAAAATTGAAATACAATGCCAGAAAATTGTAAACATCAATTTGCAAAAAAAAAAAAAACTCCACTGGCTTTCTAGTACTCAGCTAGACAAGTTTTAGGTACTCAGCTAACAAATGTGCACAGATATCATAGTTATTACTTTGTACACCTAAACATATTAAAATGTCATGTAGTCAATGGAAATAAGTTTTTATTTTATTCATAATGTACCCAGATTATGTAATCTGAACTTCCTTGTTTTCTAAGCACCTGTGTGAAAATAGTCTATTTTAAAAATGGGTCAGGAAACATTTTGTGTGTGTATTTTCCAAATATGTATTGAGTGTTTACCATGCGCCAGACTGTGTTCTAGGCCCTGTGATACAGCACTGAGGGGAAAATGGATAAAATTCCTGCCTTTGTATATCTTAAACCTAATGCTGAACATAGGTGAAATAAAACGTTAAAAAAGATGTCTTTCTGGTAAACTTAAAGTTATTTTTAAATAAAAATTTTAGCAGTTGGATAGTGTAGCATTTTCTTTTGAGCTTCTCCATTTAATTTTGAGATTTTTCTGTCAAATTAAAGTAAAACTGAGAATGAATCATAACATATCAGATGTGTGGGGTAATCCCACGCACTGCGTATATTGCTGGTCTGCTTTGAAACAACCCTCCCAGGGGCCCTCATGCAGTAAAATTACTATACTGATGGTACGCATATGGGATTCCTATCGCTTTTTATACTCTGAAATGAAGCTCATGTAGGCCTCAGTGAAAATAGTTAATATTGCTTTGTTTATTTCTGTCTTGTAATTGATTTTGTATGACAAGCATTTTTCAAGTGTGCAAAACGTAAGGGAAGAGTATGAAAGGCACAGAATATTAAATAATTTCTTCTCATTATTTAGCATTAACTTCAAATATCCTAGTGTCTTGCTGAGATCTGTTTCTGACTCACACCCACCAGTGGCCTCCTACCCTGCTGGAGGAAGAATAGAGACGAATTGAGAATCATTGGTTCCAGTGAGCTAGAGATGATCTTCCTCCCGCCCCCAAAACACATTTTCCTTGTTTAAAAAATACATGTGAGAGTTTAAACCTGTCTGTGTAATACTAATGGAAAAACCTCTCTCATCTCCCTTCAATAGATGAAGCACAGGGTGATAAAGCCAAGCAGAGTATCAGGGCAAAGTGTACAGAATATCTTGATAGAGCAGAAAAACTAAAGGAGTACCTGAAAAAGAAAGAGAAAAAACCACAGAAGCCAGTGAAAGAGGGACAGCCGAGTCCAGCTGATGAGAAGGGGTATGTATTTCAGAGTGTTAGATTTTATTGTATCTAATTAAAAGATAAAATTAAATTTAATTTGTGAAATAAATTTCTTTTGTTTAAACTGGGTGTTGGCAAGCCATGACTCATAGGCCAAATTTGACCTGCTGCTTCTTTTTGTAAATCAAGTTTTATCGGAGCACAGCCACCTCACCCATTCGTTTACGTCTCATCGGTGGATCGTCTCTGGCTGCTTTTGTGCTACAACAAGAAAGTTGGATCATCGCAACAGAAATTGTATAGCACACAAAACCTAAAATATTTACTGTCTGGTCCTTTACAGAGAAAGTTTGCCAACCCCTGGTTTATCAAGCTTAGGGGATGATATAACTCAAGTGACCCTCCATGACCACTTGGTAGTAGTAGGAAAAAACATTTGTAGGAATGGTACTCAATTCTTTACCCTCTAGCCATTATGTAATATTGAAGTCTAAAAATTGTGCGAGTGATCCATGAACTAAATCTTTGACTAGTACTATTGACTCTTGGTACTAACCACATTGGACAAAATGAAAAATAATTCCAATAATGTAAATAATTTTGGGGGATATCTTATGTAAAGTTTCTCAGTGTGGCTTTGCATTAGATTTGCTTTTATTTTGTCATTGTAAAGCAACACAGCATAATTTATAAACGTCAAACCCCACTTTTGGAATGTCTTCCTAGATGGGGAATATGTCACTTACAGATGCAGAATTTGTTTATTCAGCACCTAATATGTGCATGCCAGTGGGAGCATATTCTACCCAGATCCTATGACCATTCTACTGATTGGTGCCAGAAATAGTTCCAGGTGATGACACACTCTAAGAAAATGAGACTGCAGGATAGAGTTACCGACCTGGTTGGATTTGAGGACAGGAGGTTCTGATTAGCTTTAGATGATGTGATACTCAGATTTCAGGGGACCCAGTGGAACAAGGTGACTTAGCTGACCCCCTGTGGGTCACCAGAAGTAGAGTGCCTTGAAGACAGTGCTTTGGGGGCTTTGTGGCTACTACCATAGGCCATTTTGAAGACTATGAGGAATGTAAGAACTAGAGTTGACTGGCTGCTTCAAACTACATGGGAGAGTTTGAAGAAAATTATAAGCTCAAGGTTTTATATTCTCTGTTCAAGACATGGTCAGGGCCCAGGAGTTCCTGTGACACCAAGGCTATTTTATCTTCTGCAGCTATAGCACTGACATAACAAAAATCAGACCCTAGCTGATCTTGTGGATTATTGAATTTCAACATAGGTTCCACTTCACCGGGTTTCTTATGTGAAAATTGGGACATTTATTGGAAGACTGGGACTCTAAAGTTGAAATGAAACTATTGGGAAGAATTCAGTTGACCTCTAGTGCCTGGATCCCCAGCTCTCCCCGAGACTCCCTTCCCAGCAGAAACGTCCTCTCCTCCCTGTGCATTGAGGCTCTTCTAGTCTTGCTTGAAGACCCTGTAGTGTTCCCTCCTGAGATGGCTACCTAGCAGCGGGGGTGCCAGTTCTCTTGTATTGAATAGCAGGACCCACCTGGGCTACTTTAAGCAAAAAGGGATTTATTATAAGGTATTACCTTACAGACTTTGGTAGCTGGAGAATCAAGCTTGGATTCCGTATTGCTAGGAGAAACGCCCAACTCCACCAGGATTGTTCTGGTAGGGATCCCACTGCTGCCGACTCCCCTCCCAGTAGGACCTCTGTCACAGCTCCCTTGGCAAAGCCACTGCTTTCGTCAGCAGGTGTGATCTTGCATGCAGCCCCCACCTCAGTCATTGCTTCCACCTTCTTGGAGGAACTTTGGTTTCAGCTGGAGCCCTAGCTTCAAGGGAGACTCAGAAGGGCAGTTTTTATAAGTACAACCTTTGCTGTGCAAGAAAGCATGGTAGAAGGAGGTCAGAGTGGGTGTCAATGAATGAGTTTGCAGTCTCTACCTCACCCATAGCCCCACCATCCCATGAAAATCAAGGCAATCCCATTTGGGGATAAAATCTGTCCAGCTTTTTATCTCCCTCTATGTCTTATATGTAAAAAATGATGTAATGCTGTATTTTTTCTTGGTCATTTTTTCATTCAACCTTGTATCATGAACATCTTCTAATAAAATATTTCTACAACATTGTTTTGAAAGATTTCAGTGTATTCTATTGTATGCTAATCCCTATAATTGAACATACGTTATTTCTGATTTTTTTCCCTGTTGTGAACAGTATGGGCATGATTATCCTTATAGTCAAGTCCTTGAACTCATTTTAAATTATTTCCTCAGAATAAATTCCTAGATATGAAATGTCTGGGTTGATCTTCTTGTTCCTTGGGCTCAGTTCATTTTCATCAGAAGCTTCATCCATCCTTTGGAACCCCCAGACTAAGGGTTAGAGACCTTTGTACCTTAAATAATTAATACTCTGGGTTTTTCCTCCTAGTTATGGCTTCTTGTTCTAATATATAGTTTGCCTGGTCCTATTGTTTTTATTGTTGGTGTTTACAACTGTCCTGTAATTCATCTTAATTCTTTTGTGGAGTGAAGTGTGGAGCATGCATTTATGAATTCCTACATACATGGGTATGTCATAGGAATTTGGAGCTAGTTCCTGACTTCATTCTGGTCTTTTTGTCCCTTTCCTGTTCATGATTCCGTTTTGATGGATAATATGCCTGGTTACTATTTTATTTAATATATTCTTAAAAATAATAAAATATGCATAACTTCTATGTGAATGTCTTGTTTTGCCACTTAAATTACAGCTATTTTAGGTTAATCTTTCCTTCATTTTTGCCTTATTTTGATAGCAATGAGTGATCATTTGAATATATTAAATTTTTTTTATTAGGAATGACAGTGATGGGGAAGGAGAATCTGATGATCCTGAAAAAAAGAAACTACAGAATCAACTTCAAGGTTGCTTTAGATTTCATTTTTAAATTTACTATCTTATTAAAAAAACTCATAGCGAATTGTCTATTTGAATTGTTTTTCCCCCCCGTATTTAAATGAGGTTCAAGAACTGGCTTTGGTTCCCAGTGGTCTCATGCTGGCTATGTTGAGACCATTTTCATAGGATTTGCTCTCTAGGTTCTCTAAAGGGTTGGCTTTTTTCATGTAGTAAAAATATCATTTTGGTTTATATCTGCCTTAAAAAATCTGTCAGTCAACTTAATCTTTTTCATTTTGTCTTATTTGCCCCCTTTTAGAGAAGGTAGCATTTATACTATTAACACACTATGAAATCTGATGGTATGAAAATTTTCTAACTGTCAGGAACAGAATGAATTAAGACTCACACTTGGCTTTTATTGCTGCTGTGGTAGCTTATTCATTGATGGTTTATTTCGTGTTTCCTACCTGCTCTTCCTCATCGTTTTTATCCTATTTCAGTGTTCCCAATTACATTTATCTCTTTCTCCGTTCTGTTTTTAACTTTCACATCTATAAAAGCCCTTTCATTCTCTGCTATAGTGTAGTGGCATGATGGAGGGAGCATAGATTTTGGCTCTGTTCAGATCCAGATTTCATTCTAGGATCGGCTACTTAAAAGCTGTCTCATCTTGAGCAAGTTGCTTAACCTCTCAGAGTCTGAGACCCCAGCTCTAAAATGGAAATTAATACTATCTTCCTTTCGGGGCTATAAAAAATGAATCACAATGTAAAAATGCCTAATATTATATCTGACAAATTCTAGGGACTCAATAAATGGTAGCTCTGAGTATCTAAAAAGCCATCTATTTAATTGCTGGTTTCTTTAGTTACGGGGTTTGATTGTTCTTTAGGATGTTAGCTAATGATTTTTCAAGTGACTTTTATGCTCAGTCATTGGTAGTGTGTATTTTGTTAATTTGAACCTTGCCGAATAGAATACGTAACCGGGAAGGGTTTCTGTTATGTAGGCTCAGCCTTGGGTAGTGAAGGGTGGATATACCTAGCTTGGCGAGACCTTTAACCTTCCTATACTAGTCTCTTCGTTTTGGTAATATTTCTCTCTTACCAACCCCACTGGCATGTACAGGAGAATCCTATAAGGATAGTGTCTTGAAAACACTACAGTTAATGAGAATATTTTTACGTTTCTTCAATGGTGGATGTAGTCCAAGGGCAGAAACTGAGTTTCCACGGCTGCACCACCACTGCCTGAGGTAGTGTGCGCATACACTTTGTACTCAGTAAGTGTTCATGGGCAACCCAGTGGTCCGTGCCAGCTGGCCTTATTTCAGTGGTAAGGCAAAAAGCTGTTTTCTGTCTGTTCTTTTGCTTTTGTTCCCCTTCTCTCTTGCCCTGTCTGCCAAAGAAAAATCGGATTGCATTTTTTGATTTTGAAAAGATTTTTAGTAAGAATATTTTTCTTTAAAAATCAGTAATGATAAGGACCAGAAATATATAAAAATAGAAATGCTTGAGACATTTAAATGAGGAAATTTATTTGGAATTTCAGGATGAAGTACACTATGAAAGGAGTCCTAGCCTTTCATATTCTGAAAGTCCCTTTTTTCCATCCTTTAATTTAATGGTTTGCTGATGGATTTCATTGTATATTATCCTTTTTTGAATCTTTACTCTTTTTTCCTGAAACAGTATTTTAAATTTTTTACTTCCGTTTTAAGTTATGACATTAAATGTAATATTTGATTGTTAAAATTAAAAAGTTTATGATTTTTCTGTTAGCTAAATTTGATATTCAGTGGCTTTTTTTTGAGGTTAGATAACATATTCGTGTAATAGCGTAGTCAAAGACTGGACAAATTTATGTAATTGGAAACAATCAAATTGTTTGGCTTTTATTCTCCAATAATCCCTCCCCCCCTTTGTAATTTTACAAACCATTAAGCAATATCTAGTAATTAGTACTACTTTTCTTAAATAATCTTTCATTACAAAACATTCCAAAGTCACCTTTAAACTCTTAAGGAGAAAAGTATTAGTTCACTGTGAAGATAAATTATGACATATTTAGAAAATTTATAGCAAAAATGTTTACTCATCAGATGACACTTGTATATGAAGTAAATTTACTTTTGTTTAACTGAAACAAAATCCTATCAGATGATGCAAGTGTTTTCTTGTGTAGGGTTGTTAATCTGAATGGAACGTAGGCAAGAAAGTGAATTGGCTTTTTTCTTAATTTATACTTAGTCTGACCTTTCAGATGAAAAAAGGTGTTTATGGTTTCATTTAATTTTCACCTATAGCTAAAGATTTTCATAATTTAAAGAAGGGAAGTAAGTTGCAGAGCATAATTACTCTTAGAATAAATAGATAGATGATCTTTCCTCACGAGAAGAAATACCCATAAAACTAATTTCATGGGTAATCAGTAGATTGTGTAAGTGGTGATATCTCGTTATACTTAAAACAATTACACATCACCTTAGAACAGGCTGCTTAGTAGTTTGTAGTTGAGGACTTTTCTGTATACTGGAAAATTGGAAAAGCTTTTGATAAAAGATAACTAGAAAGTTTTGCCAATAAGCTATAGTAAAAGAAGTATTTTGTAGACTCTTAACTGCAATAATTGCAGTGGCTTTTGAATGTATTTGTTCAAAAATGTAATCATTTAAGTAGCTTTGTTAGTGTAAAAAAGTTGCAAATAGGTCTATTTAGAAGCCAAACAGGAAATTTGGCAAATCTCAGAAAAGTGTTGCAAATCTACAAGAGGATGTTTTCTCTCTCTTCTCCATCATCCCCTTGTCTTCTCTTCCTTCCTCCACCCTCCCTTATCCCTTCTCTTCATCTATCCATCTGTCTGTCTGTCTGTCTGTCTTCAGTTAAAGTTGTTAAGTATATGTTCTTCCTGTGGTTGAGGAGAGCATTAGATCACTGTGTCTTTTGGCTAAAAGAAGTAGTAGTACGTCGGTTTCATTGAACAGGTCCTTTGGATACTCCAGAATCAGTGTATTCAAACATTACGACTCATTTATGTAATGTTTGGTGCTTTTCCAAGCACTCTGATGTTCATTATGTCACTCGATCCTCGCCCTAACCTGTCTGAGTAGTTTGGGCAGATGGTGTTATTTTCATTTCACAGTGAGGACATAGAAATACAAAAGTTAAGTGATTTACCCTAGGTTGTGTAGCCTCCCACCCCAGCTTCCTGACTCCTCCTGACTACTCTCTAACAATTCCTTCCTCTTCACACTGTTTCAAAAAGGTTTTTAATGTATAGCTTTTCCAGACAATTTTATCATGCATTTCTTTAACGTCACTGTTTCATGTTGTCTTCTAAATTTGATGGAATAGTCCTCCTTAATTTAGAGATGACATAATTTTTTGTAGGTGCCATTGTTATAGAGCGACCAAATGTGAAATGGAACGATGTTGCTGGTCTTGAAGGAGCCAAAGAAGCTCTTAAAGAGGCTGTGATATTGCCTATTAAATTTCCTCATCTTTTTACAGGTGAGACGACTTTTAAATAATTTTTTGGTGATTTTTTTTAAAAATGCATTGATGACTGAGTCAAAGCAATATGAATTCGGGTCACCATATCCTGAGTTATAACCTTAAATTCTGTTAAAAGTTGGTGATATGCCTTTACACGAAAATATTTATTCCATATACATCGTACATATTTGTAGTATGTGTATTGAAGTATAACCTCAACGTCAGCCAGTGGGGCATAGAGTAAATCATCGACATGCACTGGGCTGCTGTCGCTCATTAAAATATGGTTTACCTCTACATTATATTTGACATGGAAGAATGTCCACATATGTTGTAAAGATCAAAAAGCAAGGTATAAAATATGTGTGGTATGATTCCATGTTAAATAAATGTGTGTGCTGAGGAGTAAGTGTAGACAGATTGACATTACAATGTTAATGTATGCCTAGGAGATCAGATTATGAGTGATTTTTGCTTTTGACTTTCATCTCAATTTTTTGCAAAGGACATGTACTAGTTTTATAAGAGGATTTCCATTTCTTAAAAAGAGGAGTAAGAATTATTTAACAGATGAGTCTCAGATGAAGTACATATCCCCGAGGAGTGGAAGGACAGCTCATTATGACTGTAAGGAGAATATTGCTAACCCACCATCTGGGTATAGTTGAAGTTACGGCTCCAGCAGTTAAGTCATTTGTCTGGGCAGAACCATTCCTTCACATTGTCCTTTGTGTTACTGAGAGCCAGTGTTTGTGATATGGCTATAGCCCCAATCTGACAGTGAGACAAAGGTTTTTCCTTTTAAAAACAAGCTAGTTTATGTAGAGAGCAAATCTGTGATGTTGGCCTCAAACTGAACAGGTCCAGACAGTGATATCATATACAGCAGTGATGAAGAGCAAAGAACCCATGGGCCACCCATTGTCCACTTAGCTTGAGGTATGACTTACAGCCTAACTTCAGGAACACGAAACTAATAGTATTAAAGTTGACGTCATAATCCTGTAAAAGTCCAAATATAGTTGAATTCATTTTGTGTTATATTACTTACACCAGTGTTTTCCAAACATGAGTCATGTATGTATCATCTTCATGAATGTTTCCGTGTATGTGTACCATTATTTTTTAAGTATTTACCTTTAAATCACTCACTTTTAGTTAACTTTTTATTGAAGTGTAGCATAAATACAGAGAGACATGCAGGAACCAGTAAGTGTTCAGCTTCATAAATTATCACAAAATATATAAACCTATGTAATCAACCAGATCAAAACATACTGTCAGTAACGCAGAAATCTCTGTCTGCCTCTTTCCTACCCAGAGGTAATCACTCTCTTGACTTTTAACACCATAGATTGTTTTACCCATATTTGAACTTTTAAATCATCTCACCTATTTTTACTTAGTAATTTTATTTTAAAAGACTGCTTTGTATCTACTATAAATGGAAAAATTAGTATTTCTTTAATACATATTTAAAAAATTGTTTAAATAAAAAGTATTTGTGTATCACCTAAAAGCACTTCAGCCACCAGTGGCATATATACCACATTTAAAGGAACACTGACTTAAAATTGCAGACGTTTAAAGTAGGAAAATAGAATTCAAGTAAAAGTTAAGGCTTTCATAACAGTAAATATAACAACATTTAGTTTTGTCATTGGTCGTCTGCATATCATTCTTTGCAGACACCATGTGCCAATCCACAGTTCGCACCTAGCAATTTTTAAAGTGTATATTTGATATTTTATTTCTAGGTATAACCCAGCCTAGTTCATTTTAGGCAGCATTATAATTTCCCATTAGCTAAATCAAGACACAAAGAGTTGATTTCTTCACTTGTTATATGTTGGCGAAATTAGGATTTCAGGTAGAATCCCCTTCTCATTACCTAGCCATTTGAATGAGAACATGCTACCCATAATAATAACCTGTGAACCTGTGCTTCCTTGTGGAATCAAGAATTGAATTGAACTCCATGAGAGGTCAGCCAAACTGTTAGTTTCACTCCTCCAAAATTCATAAATATTTAAAAGAAAATATTTCCAGCTGTCTTTCCCCTGTGGATGTAGTTTCTCCTCCAAGATTCTGACACTGAGCAGTGCACACAGTAGATGATCAGGAAGTGCCTTTTAATTGAACTCTCTTTCGTCCACTAGAGTGTAAGCCCACAGAGCACAGATCTCTTTGTATTCATGGTTCTCTGTCTACACATTGTGGTTTCGATACATATTGGTTGAATGAATGAGTGAGCAAGCAAATGAACTTCCTGTTAGAAGGATTATATCTGTGTAAACAGTTATGACAAAGTGGTCTCTAGAAAAAGCAAATAAAATACATTTAAGATATACTTAACTATAGACTTATTTTTAAAAATGTTTTATTCTACTGATAGCTTTAGAGTGAAAACCTCTTCACAGTATTCTCCAGTATGAATGATATCTCTGGGAACTGAAATTAAGAGTCTTGAACTTCTGTGTTATTTTTCTAATGCAAATTTAGGCAAGAGGACGCCTTGGAGGGGAATCCTGTTATTTGGGCCACCTGGAACAGGAAAGTCCTATTTAGCCAAAGCTGTAGCAACAGAAGCAAACAACTCAACCTTTTTTTCAATATCTTCTTCTGACCTTGTTTCTAAGTGGCTAGGCGAAAGCGAAAAGTAAGTCGTAAGTTGATTTTGTTAGTTTTTCTTTTTGCCTGGTAGTCACTGTATCAGTCTATAAAGTAATGGGTTACTTAGCGTCATTAATAGACATTCAGAGAAGTGACAAAGTGTAGGTATTCATTTCTCTGTCAAGTCAGTCCCTAATTTGGGATTTATTTTGTAGGGAATATATCATATATTTACAGTTTAGGGAATCATAAAGTGAATGATCCAGTTGTAGCATTCTTATTTTCTGCATCAAAACATGATTAGGCTTTTTAATCTAAGTTCCTATAATATTGGCATATTGTTTTAGTCTTTTCTTTGTCATGTGTCATTTACTATTTTTTTAGAAACTGAAAGCTTTTATTTATTTTTAGGCTAGTTAAGAATTTATTCCAACTTGCCAGAGAGAATAAACCTTCCATTATCTTCATTGATGAAATTGATTCTCTGTGTGGTTCAAGAAGTGAAAATGAAAGTGAAGCTGCACGTAGAATTAAGACAGAGTTCCTAGTTCAAATGCAAGGTAGTATTACTGATTTTTAAAATAATTTCTGTTTATTGTATAACCATTATTATAACAATAATGGAAAAAAATTCATTCAGAATTTCTCCATTCCAGCAGACCAAGTATTTCATTATGCCATGGTTCATTCTGAGTGCCTTCCATATGCATATGTAACTTTTCACTAGCTGTAACCTTCTTGTAGGACTCACTGGTATAAATAGTAAAGAGATTAATATATTTTACTTATACCAGGAGCAGTATCAGTAAAAGGAATATGTAGGCTTCAAATGAAATCTTTCAAGAGATATTTTGAAAAGAATATTAACAGTATTTGTCCACCGTCTAGGAGATTTGACTCTTAGGAATACTTACATTATGTTTAATAGTATGATATTTGATTAAATCCAGTTTTTTTCAGAGAGAAACTCAGGATGAGGCACTTTAATGTTAAAGCACCACATTTCTTAATAGAACCTACAGACGAGGTTTAAAGAACACTAAAATGACAAATTATTTAAAATACTACCCATTTTGATGCAGGCGTTGGTGTGGACAATGATGGAATTTTGGTTCTGGGAGCTACAAATATACCCTGGGTTCTGGATTCTGCCATTAGAAGAAGGTATGATGATATAGTAAATATCTTATTTCTAACTACAGATGTAATAGTAATAATTCCCTTTTTGTCCAGTGAGGAGGCATTCTAATAACTTTTTTAATGTGTCCTGACCGTATTGCCCCCTTGCCTTGGGGGGGCACTTGTTTCTTTGTTTGCCTGCTGTGTTGAAGATATGAGATTTCCACATACTGGAGTCTTGGAAAATGTATTAGTTAATGCTTACCTTTAGTTGTATGTACGCTTAGTGGGCAATGATGCTTCAGAAATTTACAAATATAGTTTGATATTCCAATGAACAATCTTCATATAAAATTTGAGCAAAATGGCAATTGTATAAGTTAAAGTATGATAACCAAGATATATTTTCAGTTAAAAAATTTGTGTCTGTAATTTTTAAATTGAATATGAAACTTGAGCTACAGGAAGGATGTAGAGACTTAACACTGCACTTTGGTTTCTGTCACTGGTGCCCCGTTCCCTTGATGGTTTGCCCGGATGCTGGACTACCATCCAGTACCAAGAAAGGAAGTGTGCTGGTTATATTTGGAAAAATGGCCTAATTCTGAACCCATCGTTAGAGATAACGGAAACTTTTTAAGTGCTTTAAAATTTTTAAAACAGAGATTTACCTGGAGGAAAAAAGGTCTTGACAGACCACTTAATTGTCCCTCATTGCTTCCTTCCTATCTCCAAATACTGAAATTCTCAAAAGGCAAGCAAAATTATTATTAATAAAACCGCGTTTATTTACAATATAGTAGATCTGTTCTGAATGTACTCATTATAATAAAGTGGACATTTTTGGTAATAAATGTTCATCCTATAATATTTTGAGTAATTTTATTATTTTGAATTTACAGAATTATGTTGTCGTCTCCTATTTCATATTGTTAATCATGTAAATCCCTTGATCAGGAGTTCAGAGTATAATTCCGTGGGAAACAGTAATCCTGTAAGACATGTCGTGTCATGAATTCAACACATAAACACTATGTTCAAAATAACCAAAAAAGTCACGTGAAAAAGATTAAACCACTCCAAACTGGTCCCTGGCTATTTTGGTTTTATCTGTTCATTGTTAATATGTTCTGGATGTTTTCCCTTTATTTAACCTAAATATATTTGCTTAACTCTGACACATAAGGGCCTGTGTAACTTATTCAGAGTAACTTTGTAAAGCAAGAATATTTAAGTGTCTTGTTTCTTCTTGAAAATATTCTAATTTTCAGTTGAAATTAAATATATATAGTAATATTCTTGATGTAATTTTTCTTTCATTTTAAGATTTGAGAAACGAATTTATATTCCTTTGCCTGAGGCCCATGCTCGAGCAGCAATGTTTAAACTGCACTTGGGGACCACTCAGAACAGTCTAACAGAAGCAGACTTCCGAGAATTGGGGATGAAAACCGAGGGTTATTCAGGGGCAGACATAAGTATCATTGTGCGCGATGCACTTATGCAGCCTGTTCGAAAAGTGCAGTCAGCTACTCATTTTAAAAAGGTAAGGAACTTTTATCTATCCTTTCATATGTGTTTAAAATCAAGTTTCAAGACTATCATTGATTTGTCTTCAAAGAATCTCAGGAAGGTCTCAGTTTTGTATAATGAATAAGTGGGTTTACAGATTAGACATATTTCCATTTAATTGAAAATAAGTTCTCCCACAAGGTTTGTTTATTAATAGCCATTATAAATAGTCCTAAAGTATTTTAAAATTTTCTATATGATGATTTTTGAAGTACCTACTATTTTGATATAAGTATAAAAACTTGAATATATAGTTGCCTATGATGTAACTGCAATATCCTGGAGCAGAATCTGGTGTGTTTATACTTCATTAACAGAGTAAAAATAATAATAGCTAATATTGTTTAAATATTCACATGCTTGGCACTGTGTTCTATCCTTTATCTTACTGTTTCATTTGGTCCTCACACAAACTGTAAGAGGTGCATAGAGCTGCCCGTTGATGGTTAATCTGAGACTTGGATGTTAACATGGTTAAACTGGGGCTTCGATGGGAACAAGGTTTACCAAGGTATGTAGAGGGGCAGAGGTGTGATGTTTCTCCAGATGAGGTGGACTTCAGAATCTGAAGTCTCAACCGTTTGCTCTCCTGCCCCTCCCATGCGTTTTTTGTCTGCATGAATGCGGTGAGCATATGTAGTTGAGATAGAACTTTATAAAAAGACTATGATCTTGAGATATCCAATTTAAGTAACAGTGGAGGAGGTAATTGGGACCAACCCGCTTGCTGAGGGCAGCGGTCTCCGGTATTGCTCATGAACATAGGTGTGAAAATCCTGAAAACTATTAGCAAACTTAATCCAGCAATATATGGCAAGACTAATATGTCACGACTAATGCATATGTATGTCCATTATGTACCACAAAATAAGCTTTTTAAAAAAATGAGCTTGAGTTAAAACCTGGATTTAAAGCCCGACTCCACAGTTTACTTGTTATAGCTCCTTGAGCAAATTATATAATCTATTTAACACTCATTTTTATCACCTCTAAAGTAGAGATGATAACTACTTTGAAGTGCTGTTTTGAGAATGAAATGAAGTAATATTCATAAAACACCTATCAGGGTACCTGAATATCCCAGTAAATATTACTCAGTTCCCCTTGTTCAGCCACTTCATTACTGAGAGAAATATAGTAGACTCAGATCAAGTTTATGCCACAGCTGTTGCATTTTCTCTTAAATTCTCTTTACCCTTTAGAAACTGTAGATTCTTAGGAACCCAGTCCTTTCCTACCCAGAACTCTTCATTCATTCTCTGTGTTACTACCAGGGACAGCCTAGGTGACCCTGAAGCCAGGTCGTTGTGAGGAATAAAGGTGGAGCAGCCAGATTAGTTTCACATCGGACCTTTTATATCACCGACTATGCTAGGTCTCTCTAGGGCTCCATCCTTTACTCCATTTTTCAATTGGCAAGAACAAGTTTGCCCGTTTATTTTATTTATCGAATGTCTTAAGTACTAATCTGTGCCCAGAGATAAGTCAGAAAGTATAACAGTCAAAACACACAAAAATCCCTGCAGCTGAAGTTTTTGTAAGGAAAGACAGACAACAAAATAGGCACAGTAAGTAAAGTGAGAACGTTTATTTCTCCACGCCTGCCCCAATCCTGAGACAATGTTTAAGATTGATCATTGTAAAACAAATATTAAAACATACCCAATTTGATACAAATATGTTGCCATCTAAATATTTACATGTGACTCTGGATGTCATTAAAACTTTATTTTAAATCAGTTACAAATCGTAAAATGCACTGAATTACATTTAACATTTAATTTTGTACTTATATTTGAAGAAGGGGTTTTTGTTAAAGCGACATTCAGTAACGAGCCTTCCAGACATCACAGAAGTTTCTGAGCTGTGGAAAAGAGAAACAAGAGGATTTTTGAGTATGTCTATTTTTGGTCTCTGGGATTATTACCACTTAATAAGCATTACAGAAAAAAAGAGAAATCTCAGCCACAGGTCACTGTTTCTTTTTTTATTTTAACTCATTTTCTCCCTGTGATCATATAAGTAATTTATTGTAGGAAATTTCAAAATATAGAAAAACATCAAGAAAAAAATTAAAAATCTAGCAAAATCTCTTCCATCACCCAGAGATAACCACTTTTTGTTGTATATTCTTGTGTTTATTTTCAGAAGTGAACACTTTTAATGAAACAGAAAATAGTACATTTTCAAATTTCCTGATAATGGCCTAAATCTTAATGTTTATTTAATTTATTCAAATAAGTATTTCAGACGACTGTTTATTCCAGGTTCGAGGACCCTCACGAGCTGACCCTAGCAGCATAGTAAATGATCTGCTGATGCCCTGCTCTCCAGGCGACCCGGGTGCCATTGAAATGACGTGGATGGATGTCCCTGGGGATAAACTTTTGGAGCCAGTTGTTTGCATGGTTTGACATTTTGTTTGCTTTTAAGAAAACTTTTAAAACGTTATACTAGGGTCCAGCCCAGTGGTGCAGCAGTTAAGTTCACACGTTCCGCTTTGGCAGCCCAGGTTTCGCCAGTTTGGATCCCGGGTGCAGACCTACATGCTGCTTGTCAAGCCATGCCATGCAGACATCCCACATATAAAGCAGAGGAAGATGGGCACAGATGTCAGCTCAGGGCCAGTCTTCCTCAGCAAAAAGAGGAGGATTGGCGGCAGATGTTCGCTCAGGGCTAATCTTCCTCAAAAAGAACAAAAATCCACAATGTTATACTTTGTGATATGTCAGACAAAAATTTTCAGTTATGTAAGATGAGCTAGAAAATGTTTTATGACAGGCGTGTTTATTTGGTACTAACTACTTAAAAAGTTGTAAAGATTAATTGAACTTAAAATATAAAAAATAATCTTTAAAATGTTTCCTGGGCTTTGAGGAAAATTTAATTGTAAGTTAATATCAAGCTATTTTTCAAAAAAACAGGTTTCTCACGTTGTAAATGTTACAGCTGGGATATTATCACCAAAATGCTCATATATATTGCATAAATTATTGTCAAGAGTTAACTAAAAACTAGGATTGGTGAAAATTCTTTTCCCTGAATCTCAGGTTTTGTAAAATAATCCAGAAACCCTAATATGTGTATCATAGTATTCATAATGGTGTTTTTTTGTTTTACTTCTCAAGGCTTCATAGAAAGTTTAAATAATGTAGTGCTTAGAAAGAAAAGTTCTGAAACAAAATTTTTATTATAATATTTTATTATTATATTTTTAGGGAACTTACTGTGATTCAAAAGGTACATTATTATATTTGTATTTTCTTATTGATGAACAGTCATTTTTTAAAAATCTTCTGCTTCAGTTACAGATTTTCAAAGAGCTTTATGTTAGAATTAACAATAACTTGCAGAGGAGAAACTTTTATATGATACGTGGACATAGATATATAAACATAAATGTACGTGTGTATGTATACAAGTATATGAGTGTATACACATATATGTACACATACACACATAGGTATGTTTATATGTTAATTAACCATAATATTTACATGGAAGGTTATTCGGATACTCTTGTTTGTTTCCATTTTTTATTTATTTTTTAACGTTTTGGTTTTTGACCAGTTTCCGTACCATTTTATAGGAGACACAGCCTGGAAGTTAATTTTTTTAGGAATCCTTGCTATTAGCATATTTTCTTACCATTTTGATCTTAATTTTTAATTGATAGTTAAAAATTGTGATTAGTTGATTTTGATTGAATGGTATTCTGTTTCACATAAGTATAAGTGAATGACTATATTCCTTTTGAATTGCACTTGAAAAACTGTTCTCTTGTTTAAGAAAAAATAGGTAAGGCCAGAAGAGAGATCAGGGACCTGTTTTGGAGAGCCTTGATCCTTCGACTAAGAGGGCTAGACTTCTGATGGGTAATGAGGAGCTATTGAAGGTTGTGATCAGGACAAGGCAAGCAACGGAAAGTTTCTTTGCAAAGGAGTAACATGGTCAAAGATGACCTTTACAAGAATAAGAGAGTGTATTGTCAGTAGCTTATGGCACACTGTAGATATTCAGATTTAACATTAGGTCACAGTTAGTAATAATAATGATGATAACGCAATGATTCTTATTTGATTAAATCTATTACTCATACTCCCCCCTTCTTTTCCTTGACAGTCGGATATGTTACGGTCACTGTCTAGCACAAAGCCCACAGTCAATGAACATGACTTGTTGAAATTAAAGAAGTTTACAGAAGATTTTGGCCAAGAAGGCTAAACCAAAGACAGCGAGGAAGACATTTGCCACGTGTGTTGTTTCTTTCATGGGTATTTTTGCCTTTCTTGGCTGGCATTCAGATTATTTCCAGTAAAACTCTTTTACCACAGGGAAACATAGATCCCACTCAGTGTTCCTTCAAGTTTTATATGTACTTTTGCTCCATTACCAGTTAAATGCTCCTATTAACAAAAATTATAAAATAATGGGTTATAAAGAAATGAGTGGTAAGTGAATGGCGAAAAATAGAAATTACTCAGTAAAAAAGGATTAAAATTGAGAGACAAATATTTAAAGTTGTTATGAATAGTAGTCTTTGCAAAGAGCATTTATCTTTTTTGTTTTACCAAAATGAAATAGGGCTTATTTCATATTTTGGAAAAATTCTTAGGCATCATTCTCATCAATGTAAAATTTATTTACTTTATTAAAAAAATTAAAATAACAGGATCTTCACTCTCAGGGATGGGCAATAGAACAGCAAAGAGCACTGTGATTGAGCTTGAAAGGTTTTGAATTATGTTCTAGTCAAGGCTCTTAATTGTGTAGATTTAAGTGATTTCTTTAAAAGCAGCAAGCTTTTGTATTTAACTAAATAATACCTTTCACTGTGCAATCTCAAGAGAAAGACTTCCTAAATTATGCATTGTCTTTATCTTGAAGAAGAAAATTGTCTCTTTCGGTGTCTTTTTGTAGCAAGATCGACCAAAACAGGTGGTAAATAAACACGTACTTTTTAAATAACTCTGTCGTGAAATACTGTAATGGGAACCTTCGTTAAAAGGACTGGCCTCCGTTTGGATTAGGGGAAGTTTCTTGTGTGTGATGAGGGGGGTGTACATATATATATATATATAATTTTTTTTTAATATAGAATAGCAAGGGTCTTGTCTTTTACCTTTTAAGTTCAGGGAACCGTTTGTCCTGACCACATATATGTTATCAGTGTAATACTTCATGAAGCTTTAGAAAGGAGCTGATGTCTCATTAAATAATAAAATACAAACATGCTGTGTTATTTTAATATCTTCAAATAAATCATCTGAGGGTATGTGTTATACACTTCAGCATCAACACTAAGTTGTGCCTTGTACACTTGCATTGGCTACACATGCAAAGGATTATTAAGGTAGCTAGAATGAGGTAGATTCCTTAATTACTGTAAAGTTCTACCTTGCACATGCTATAGAGTAACTTGCATTTTAAAGTATATTTGCACATTTTACATATTATGCTATATGGTTGCCTTTGGGTTTTCTGTACAGATTGTTTTTGTTGATATTAAATGGAAATCTAGGCCTGAAATATGCTGTTCTTGTGTGAAGTAAATTGATATAACCTACTAGTGGCTGTATTCTGTGTATGCTTCTTTATTTTGGATCTTCTGTATAGGAGAAAATATTATCTAAATTGATTAGATACAAAGAAATCATTAAAATTATTAATTAAGAATGTTTACATGAAAATTCTATTATTCAGCAACTTTTATGCGAGGGTTGGAAGTTAACTTGGCAGACCAACACTGAATTCTTTGTGGATGTCTTATAATTTACATACTTTATAAGCCTCAGAATTGTATGGTATTGCTATTAATTATGTCATTAGGAGAATTGATGTAATTATATTAATTATATAATAGTTGAAATCCAGAATTTTTTGTGAACCCAGAATTTGTTTTGAGGAAGAATTTTACTTAAATTGATAGAGACATGACCACATAGTGTATGAGTATAGTGTTGATGATAAGTGGATACTTTATCAGACTGAATTCTTACATGTGCTTTGAGTACTATGGCCTCAGTATCCACATCACTTCTAGTCATAACTTCATTCTCTACGTTTCTGGAGTCTGATAATTTTAGACTTACTCTAGAATGGTAGAGCATAGGCCATTTCCATGTGTTCTTTAGGAACAGATAAATACTTAGAGGAAACTAAATGTTCAGGCTCTGTTTGTGCCTTGACAATTATGAAATTTTGGTTAGATGTTTTCTGAGCATCTAGATCAATGAGCTATACCCTGAATGTTTACAAACAGTTTTTGTCTCGGCCTGAAAACTCTCTAGGGACCTTAATTATAAAGTATTTCAATAGAAAATTGACTTTTGAGTTCACTGTCATCTACATGCAGAAAAACATAATGAGTGTATTTGATTATTAATGTGGAGTACCATTTAGGCACTTGCCACTTGCATAGTTAAGAAATTGAGGCATACCTCCCTAACGCCACTGCCATAAATGTTGCTTGACGCTGTTGCAGATGAAGCGACATGGAGTGCCCATCGTGGACACTGATGTTATCTCAACTTTCTGAGCCCTGTGCTTTCCTCCCTCCGTACCTTCATTTACGGCATTCTGTTACTCTGATACAGTGTCCTTCCTTCTTCTCTCTGCTACTCCAAGTCCCGTCATTTCCATTAAGACCTAACTCATGATCTGTATAATCTCTTGCAGGAAGAATTCCTAAACTTTCCCCATCCTACCTTGGATTTCTTTAGCACTAAATTGCCACTACTATCTTAAGATTTTTCTCCACGCTTCAACCACGTTCTGTTAATCTTGTTTAGATCATTTAGATTGTAAGCTCTTCAAAGAGTTACATTTTCCCTTGCAATTAGCATAGTGCTAGACACTATTTATTAAGTAGTAATGAGGGCTTGAAAAAATAAGGGAGTTGTATCCTTATTTTTATCTGCTTTCTGGATTATCTGTGAGACTTTTTATAAAATAGATAATTTGAAGTGACTTTGTTCTTGCTGGTCTAATGAAGGTGTGATAAATTTCAGTCTTGGTTATTGGGGACTAAAATCAGAGGTGTGCCAAAGCCGGCTCACACTGGCTCACGAGAACCAGTTGTGCGAGGTAGCTTGAAATCTGCCACAGTGGGACCACACTACAGAACTCAGCAAGTTTCAGTGAACACGGTGCCGTGCAAAGCAAGGACCGTCTGTAGTTTAAAATTGAAAAGTTAGTAGTATTGCCACATTTACAGAAATAGAAAGGGGCATAAAAAGCATTTGGTAAAATCCAGCACCCATTTGTGACTTTATTTTTTTAAAAAAACTTCTCAGGCCCAGCCCAGTGACATAGTAGTTAAGTTTGTGCACTCAGCTTTGGCAGCCTGGGGTTCACAGGTTTGGCTCCTGGGCGCGAACCTACACCACTAGTCAAGCCACACTGTGGCAGCATCCCACGTAGAATAAAGGAAGATTGGCACAGATGTTAGCTCAGGGCCAATCCTCACACACACACAAAAAACTTATTAAACTAGGAATAGAATGGAGCTTCTTAATGAAGAGCAACTACCAAAAGCAAAAGAACTAAAGAAAACACCATACTTAACTGTGAATCATTGAAAACTTTACTCCCCAGAGATCAGGAAAAAGACAAAGATAAGTAAAAAGTTTAGGGGTTAAAAAGGAAGAAACAAAATTGTCATTCTCAGATGACAGAGCTGTGTATGTAGAAAATCCAAATTAATATAAACTTTGAATTTAACAAGGTTACAGGATACAAGGTTACTAAATAAAAATTTTTGTATTTCTGTGTTCTGGCAACAATTACAAGTTGAAATTATGAAAACAATACCAATTACTTTAGTATCACAAAGCATCAAATACCTCAAAATAAATCTGAAAGATGTGCAAGACCTCTACGTAGAAAACTGAAACATTACCAATAGAAACTAAAGTAGACCTGAACAGGTAGAGAGATGGACCCTGTTCATGAGTTTGAAGACTCACTCTTATCAAAAGTATCGATTCTAGCCAAATTGATTGTAGATTTAATGCATTTGCAAATCCGCATCTGGGTGAGATAGATAAGCTACAGAAACAAAAATAGATGCTTAGTAATTTATTGATGATTGTAAAGAAATAGCATTTTGTAGTTTGAATCCATTTCTATAACTCTGTTTCTCCTAGCTGTATCCATTCATCCACCGTCATTCCTCCAGATACCTGTGCATATACACAGAAAGACATCTGGAATTATTTTCACATTATGTTCGTTATGTTATTTGTGGGAAGTGAGATCTGGATTGATTCTTCTACTTTATCTCTTTCACCTCCTTCAGATATATTTTCAAATATCACCTATTAAGGTGTATTAAGACGTGGTCATCCTGTTTAAAATTGCATTTCCTCCTGATGCTCCTTGTGTTCAATCCCTGCTTCGTTTTTCTCTGTGGCACTTATCATCATCTAACATACTGTTAGTAACATAATTTACCATTTGCTTTTCTTATTCCAATTACTCCTACGAACGTGTGTTCCATGATAGCTGGGATTTTCTTGTCTCTTTTCTTCTCTGCTATATCTCCAGGATCTGGAACAGTGCCTGGTACTTGATGGGTGCTCAGTAAATATTTACTGAGTGAATAAATCTTCCTATTTTTTCTGAGTTTGAATACTTTACTATGAGCTTGTATAATTTTGCCCCTCCCCCCCAATTTTTACTTGTTTAAAAAAAGAAAATTAGGAATGGAAACAAGCACACCAAGAAATTAACAGTTGATAAATATGGGTGATAGAAATATGGATACTTGTTGATTTTTTTCTCTGTTTTTGTCTTTAGATATTTTAATCTCCCAAAATTAAATTTTAATAAGTTTTTTTTTTTTTTTTTTAAGATTTTATTTTTTTCCTTTTTCTCCCCAAAGCCCCCCGGTACATAGTTGTATATTCTTCGTTGTGGGTCCTTCTAGTTGTGGCATGTGGGATGCCGCCTCAGCGTGGTCTGATGAGCAGCGCCATGTCCGCGCCCAGGATTCGAACTAACGAAACACTGGGCCGCCTGCAGCGGAGCGCGCGAACTTAACCACTCGGCCACGGGGCCAGCCCCAAATTTTAAAAAGTTTTTAAAGAAGAATTACAGTCAGAATGACAGCTGATCAAAGGAATTTGTCTCCTCTTCTGGAACCCTATGAAATAACAGAAAAGGTTTTAAGAAGAGAGAGAGAGAGAAAACCAGGACAGCAAAGATATTCATCAGACAAATGTACAGTCATAGCTTCGCTTAACAACAGGGATATTCTGAAAATTGTATCGTTAGGCAATTTCATCCTTGTGCCCAAACCTCATAGAGTATACTTACACAAACCTGGATGGTATAGCCCACTACACGCCTAGGCTATATGGTACTAATCTTATGGGACCACCATAGTATATTCGGTCTGTCGTTGACGAGAACATTATGCGGTGCATGACTCTACTTTGGAGGAGTGGTGTTCTTCCAAACTGCCTTCCTGGTTTAGGGAACGCACCTGGGCTCCCACTACAGGAACCAAAGTGGAGAGATCCTACTTTTCTTCATCGCTTGGCAGCCATCACATGACCCCCGACTGGCCTTGGTTAATCAGATGCTGCCACCCGGTACTTCAATCTTGAACACCTCAAAGATGTCAGGATATTAAAAATAGGATCATAGCAGCATCAACAGCATGTACCTGGATGGGAATCTGTTAGCTCATGGTGAGACAGCTAATTACATTATTTTGATTGCATAGAATGAAGTGCCCAGTGAGGACAGACATTGTGGAACTACTTTGCAGCTGCTATGGAACAAAATGAAGGCGTGAGAACTCTAAAGACTTCTAACTGGGGTCAAGGCAGGGATGGAAACCCAGGGATCTTCTTTGATTATGACAAGGAAACATTTCTTGGATCCACAGTACTAAAGTAATAAAAAGTGAAACTCGGTGTTTGATTCTGTAGCTTGCCAGGTTATGTCAGTTCAATTCACAGATTCACGAAGTTTTTTAATGTGAAGATAAGGAAATATAGTAGTCAAAGAGAAGGATGCATAGTATTGACGTGTAATTTGTGAAAATTTGAAGGATTCTGAGCATCAGGAAATATCCAGAGGACTATATATGGGAATGGGCTATGTTGCTGGTTAGCCAAGAAAAGGAGAGTCTAATTTCAGATATGATTGAATCTATCAATATGGGTTCAGTCAACAGAGACTCTGAATTTAGTATTTTGGTTAGAGCTACTAGGAGTGGTTTTAGTTGTTTGCTTGCCTGATAGAAGAAACCGAACTCAACAATCAACCCTCTCTGAACTCTAATAACATACAATATGAGAGAAAGAACCCACCATCTTTAGGAAATAGTAATGCTGGAGTGGATTTATCATGTGAGGACACAGTGTTCCTGGAGAAGATCCAGAACCCAGTCCCTTAACCAAGGCTTTGACAGGTGAAAGGAAAGCATTCCAAAGTGTTTTACTGGTTCTTTGATTCCATTGGAACTGGAAAGATCCTTTGGTTGCAGAAACCAAGTAGTGGCAGTTAGCCAGCACAAGTCAAGTGGACTTGGTCACCACGTTAGCCAGTAGGGCGAAT